AGGTTCAAAGGGCAAGGCCCTGGAGGAGCAGAAAGTCCATGCCCTCTCTGGGTCACCACCCTCTCAGCACCTTCACCTGGTCACCAACCCAGAAGCTCTCTGAACATCCTTTGGGTTTTTATGGAGGCTTCATTATGTAGCCGTGATTAATTACATCTCCAGCCCCTCACCTCCCCTAGAGGGTGAGACAGAAAGTTCCAACCCTCTGATCCTGTGATTGGTTCCTCTAGCAACCAGCCCCCATCCTTAGGTTACCCAGAGGGCTTCGAAAGGTCACCTCATTAACATGACAAAAACACATTGTTTGCTCTCCTTACGTATGGAAATTCCAAGGGATTTTGGAGTTTAGTGCCAGGAATGGGGGCAAAAACCAAATATATATTTCTTGTTAGAAATCATAATATCCCAGGTTTCTTCATCGGCTTTCTTTTGGTTGCCAAAATAGTTTTCTTGCATTGGGAAGAAATCTCATTTTTCATACAGATATGGATAGGACTTTATTGGTTGACAGAGGCAGTGTTCATTCTGGCATTCCAAAGCTTCCGTCCAACCTTCTGTAGAGATTACACCAGGAAACCAGCACTTGGTCTGTTAGGATGCTCATGTGTTTCCTCACGTCACGTATACTTTGCCTTGACAGATTTGAATAATTGAAGTACCAGATGGGATTGTCATGGGAAGAAAAAAGCAAAACAGGGGCGCCTGGGTGGCTCAGTCTTGGGGTGTCCGACTTCAGCTCAGGTCATGATCTCACAGTTCATGGGTTCAAGCCCCGCATCAGGCTCTGTGCTGACAGCTCAGAGCCCGGAGCCTGCTTCAGATTCTGTGTCTCCCTCTCTCTCTCTGCCCCTTCCCTGCTTCGCGCTCGTTCTCTCTTTCTCTCTCTCTCTTAGAAAATGAAAAACAAAACAAAATTGTGACGGATGATGTCCTGTAAATGTGCTGCTGTTATTCTTATGTCACTAAGGTTTGTTTTTGTTTGCTTTGGGGTTTTTATTATCTTTTTTTTTGCCCAGTGTGCAGGGTATTTGGAAATAGGGATGTTGACGGTCTGCTGGTAACATGGTTAGAAATGATCTGTTAGACATAATCTGTTATGCCCAGAATTCGTGATCCCCAAAGACCACTAGGGAGCCGAGTCCGATGCAAAAGCAAAGAGCCTTTATTCGAGCTAGCTCGAGCTCAATCCCCTACCTGCACCGACGCAGCGGTGAGATACCAGGGAAAGAGCGCGAGTTTCAAAAGGACAAAGGTTTTATTGGGGCCTGGGGGCAGTTGGTGAGGTAATGGCTATGGCCTCAGCCGATTGGCTGGGGAAGGGTCCTGGGGAAGGGTCTGAGTCCTGTTAGGCAGGTGAGGGGGGGTTACTCAAGGGGAGGAGGTGTGGTCAAGGTGAAGGACACAGAACAAGATGGAGTCGGCTGGCGTAGGCCCGCCCTTTCAAATCCTCTGTTTCGAAACATTTTTTATGTTTTTTCTAGGTACTACATTACATGTATTTTGGTCAGGTCGGTGTTACCTGTTCATTTTCTGACTCATGACATATACGCTCTGAAGATTAATAAAGGGAATCCTCATTAGAATGCATTTGGAGGTTCAGCAAGGGGAGCTCTCCTGCCCTGCCACTCATTGTCAGTTGCACACCCCAGCAGGAAGAGGAGGACCTTGCAGGTGGATACTACTTTACGATCCCGGCAGGAGAAAGAAAGGCTTACAGGCCTCCAACAGCTCAGCCAGTCAGAGACTGTTTATAACAGCCCTCCTAACCTCCTGCTTTCCTCTGTAAAAGAACATTCCTATCTTTGTTTGGAACTCTTGCCAGTGGTTTTCCCAAACTTCTTGTCCCAGATTGCAATAAACCCATTTTTTTTTTTTTGATGATAAAATAACTGGCAGCTTTATTTTTTTTATTTAGGTTAACAATACCTTCATGAAAGAAGATAGACAAACAACAATTTCAGAAAATAAGGGTATAGTAAGGTGAATAAAACAAGATGACGGTACAATATTAGTTCACTCTCATGTTTTAAACTAAGAGAATTTGGTTTGCTCCATGGAATTGTAAAGAGAGAATGCAGAGGGAATGGAAAGTGAGAGAATAATGCTTCAGCTAAAGGAAGCTTACTCCGTAAAAGGAAGTAGAAATACATATAAGCCGCCTTTACATAACTCTGAAGTTGAGGTTCTTTTATAGTATCTCTTGTCCTCTACTCAGTTGAAAATCACTTTAATAAGTGCTTAATCTTGTCAATTTTTTTCCACACTCTTCACACTTAGATCTTTTAATGAATAATTTGCATTGCAAGTGTCTCTTCAGAATAGCCTTTCTACCAGGCTAAGTTTGATGCTCCTAGAATTAGGGCTCAGTTGTTCCATATACTGCTCTTGCTTTCTTTATCTTCCTCTGTCAGGAAAGATTTTAAGGAGTTCTTCATATTAAAAGATATTGAGTAACCAAATCAGAATTTATAGAAGTAAGGTCTTGTCCAATAGGATGGGAGAGAGCAATTTTAAAAGGCTAGATAGAGCAGGAAAGCAAAAAGGCTTCATCTGTGTGTGTTGTTTGCATAGGAGAACTAATGAAAGTGATAGACTCTAGGTGAGCTTCTAGATCACTGTATTAGGAAAGAGCATTTCTGGGACACCTGAGTGGCTCAGCTGGTTAAGCTCCAACTTCAGCTCGGGTCATGATCTCTTGGTTTGTGAGTTTGAGCCCTGTGTCAGGCTCTGCGCTGACAGCTCGGAGCCTGGAGCCTGCTTTGAAATCTGTGTCTCCCTCTCTATCTGCCCCAACTCCACTCACGCTCTCTCTGTCTCCCCAAAATAAATAGACATTAAAAAAAAAAAAAAAAAGGAAAGAGCATTTCTGATAGTGAATAATATTTCACTGTAAATTTTAGCTATTCTCAAACTCTTCAAAGTGGCCTTGTCCTCTGTAAACTATTCTAAAAGTAATTTTAGCATTTACTTCTGGAATATGTGATTTACTGCTTACATAAATATACATTATTAATTTAAATGTACTTTATCATTCCTCATTTCTACCTCGAGTAGTAAATGATGACAGTTCAAAAGCCTTAAAAATGGCTGTATCCCACAGTTCAGGAATGTTCTTACCTCTGGGAAAGGAAGAAGAGGCAATCGAGAGGCACACAGGGAGTTTCAAAGATGTATTGGTTATATTCTATGTCTTAACTGTGAGTGTTTATTTTTTCTTCTCTCTTAAAAGATTCTGATGGAGGAAAATATACTGTATCCTACAGAATAATCAGTGATGCATGTAGATTGTTTAAAATGTTAAAAAGATACAAAAACGTTCTACTTTATTTTTGAATATTCTAATTCTTAATAATAATAGTACAGTGATTAACTTATGATACTTGCATAGGATGGAACATCATGCCCCATTGAAAATACATAACTTTTAACTTGAGAAAATACTTATGGAGCACTGTCAAAAATACAATGAAAAATCTTTCATAAGATTCCACTTTTGCTTCAGATCTACATACGTACATTAAAAAGAGTGGGAATTTTCTAGATAATTTTTTTGAATTTGTATTTGTACTTACCTGTAAATTCCACCTTTGTGTAAGGAATATAGATTATTATAGGGGTGCCTGGGTGGTTCAGTCGGTTAAGTGTCCAACCCTTGATCTCGGCTCAGGTCATGATCTCATGGTTTTTGAGACTGAACCCCAAATTGGGCTCCGTGCCCAGCCTGGAGCTTGCTGGGATTCTCTTTCTCTCCCTTTCTCTCTGCCCCTCCCCCACTCATTCCTTCCCTCCTTTTCTCTCTCTCAAAGTAAGCAAACATTTTAAAAAAGAGAGAAATAAAGATTATAGGGGCACCTAGGTGGCTCAGTCAGTTGAGCATCCAACTCTTGATTTCAGCTTGGGTCATGATCCCAGAGTCGTGGGATCGAGCCCTGTGTTGGGTTCTGCACTAAGTATGGGGCCTGCTTGAAATTCTCTCTCCCCCTCCTCTGCTCATGCTCTCTTTTTCTCTAAAATAAAATAAAATTAAAATATATATATATATAGTTTATATAATCAGGAAAAATTTTAAAATAAAAACAGCATTTGCTCACCAGTTGAGTAAGACAGAAATTGGCGTAGCAGTTTAAACATCTTTAAGCAGGGGGCCCCCATTTCAGATAGCACAGCGAACTAGATAGCCTGAACAAGTCTCCCAGTGAAGTTAACTAACATGCTGGGTCAGTGTTTAAATGTATAGCTCATCTAGCAGGGAAATCAAGAAACTTTACAGGTAACAATAAATCAGGTACTCTGTGAGGTAATTGAGCTGTACCTGTCACCATGGATGAATCTCAGAAACACTGAACTAAGGTACGGTAAGTCACACAAGAACACATAAAGTATGATTCTATTTATATGCTCAAAATCATGCAGATAAACAATTATTTAGGAATACACTACAAAATTCAGAAACATGATGCTTCTTTTGGGGAGGAAGATGAGATCTTGGAGGAACACATGAAGAGCTCTTAAGATAGAGGGAACGTTCTCAAGCAAGTATGATGTATACATTATTTTTTTAATTCCATGTAGACACCTTATTCTCCTTTTATACAATGAGTTTCATACACACACACAAAAACATTTTTTCAATTGAATGTCCAAATTAAACCACATTCTATGAGAGAAGTGATAGTAAGGAAATGAAGTTAAGTGTGTGGATTTTGTAGGTACTTCATTTTTTTATTTGTTGTTTTAATTGGGTAACACATATGAACTTCAGAATCAGCTTATCTAGTTTCCTCTAAAAATAATTCTCTTGGGGCACATGGGTGGCTCAGTGGGTGAAGTGTCTGACTCTTAATTTCAGCTCAGGTCATGATCTCACAGTTTGTGAGATGAAGCCCTACATCAGGCTCTGCCCTGACCGTGTGGAGCCTGCTTGGGATTCTGTCTCCCTCTCCCTCTCCCTCTCCCTCTCTCTTTCTCTCTCTCTCTCTTTTTCTCTCTCTCCCCCCCCATTTCTCTCTACCCCTCTCTCACTTACACATGCACACTCTCAAACTTTAAAAGTAATAATAATTCTTTGGGGCGCCTGGGTGGCGCAGTCGGTTAAGCGTCCGACTTCAGCCAGGTCACGATCTCGCGGTCCGTGAGTTCGAGCCCCGCGTCGGGCTCTGGGCTGATGGCTCAGAGCCTGGAGCCTGTTTCCGATTCTGTGTCTCCCTCTCTCTCTGCCCCTCCCCCGTTCATGCTCGTCTCTCTCTGTCCCAAAAATAAATAAACGTTGAAAAAAAAAAAAAAGGTAATAATAATTCTCTTATTTGTGTTGGGATCATGTTAAGCTTCTAGATTAATTTAGAAAGAATTCACAACTTTCTACCAACAAGGTATGGACTTTACTCATTTGTTCAAATCATCTCTTGTGTTCCTCAGTAGCATTTAAGTTTTGTCCCTGTATATTGTGTACATTTCCTGTTTTCATATGTGTGTAAATCCACGCACACATTTGTGTATATAGAAGTACGCAGGTAGTCCATCACAGTTATTCTATAATCCTTAATTTTTTTTCTTAAAGCATTTAAAAACTCTCTTACTGTTATAAATGTAGAGGGAAATGAAAAATACTATAAGATATACAGCACACTGTAACTTAATGCTTAAAAACATTAAGAATTAAAGTGTTTTACTTCTTTTGTGGGAAACTTACCCAGAATAGTCTGCTCAGTGCTCGCTTCTCCTTACAGTATTATAGGTGAGCGTGTTTTCGGTGCCTTGGCCATTTGTCATACTCCTTTCTGGGTATGGATCAGCTTTCACCATTTTATCCTTTGCTCTTTCAATTCAATTTGATTACAGAGAGTTTCTGTACTGATATTTTTCACAGGAATAACTTCTTCCGGGAACCCACTTTCTTCATGCATGCCATCAAGTTCACCTTCATGTAGATCCTCTGGCTGCATATGCAGAGTTTCTTCAGTGGCAGCCGTGTCAGCATTCCTGTGGTCCCCTATTTGTTCTATAAATGCATTTACATTTGAGCCTGATTTCACTTACAGGGTTACAGGTTTCTCCTGTATTTCCATTTTGTTGGCCAATTCCTTCTGTTGGAGTCTACATTTTTGTAAAAAGGCACACGGGACATTTTATCAGTGGGAGATTAGGAGGCACCACAACTTAATGCTTTGCTGTCTGTGAGTGACCAGTTACTGACTGAAAGAAATGACATGATTGGTCACTGATCCCGAAGCATGTCTTTGCCTAGTGGACTCAAAAGCTACCAGTGAAGTCTGTACTCTACAATTACACAGTTAATATATTTTGATAACTGAAATTTGAACAGTTGTTAGGGGGGAGTGGTGACATTTAACTAAACCATAGTAACCAGGATCCGTGCATGGCAGAACCATACAAAGCAAGGACTGCCTGCTCACCCCCCCCCCACACACACACACACTGGTTGTGAGGCATATGCTTATGTATTTCATTTTTTCTGTTGCTGCTATAACGTGGGTCTTTTCCTTCCTTTCCTAGTTTTCAATTCAATATTGTTTTTATATAGGAAAGCTGTTGATCTATACAGAACGTTCACTTTATGCCCTTATTGAATTTCTTTTTTTTTTCTCTTACTGAACTTCTTATTACTTTTAACAGTTTTTAATTGGTGTTTGTGTAGATATATAATTATATTATCTGCAAATAATTTTCTCAACCTTTCCTATATGATATTTACACCTCTTATTTCTGTCTCTTACCTAACTGTACTGGCTAGTGTTTCTGCCACATACTAAATAATAGTGGGGATAGTGAAAATCCTTATTTTGCTCTTGGGCTGAATGGATATGCTTCTAGTGTTTTCTCATAAAGCTTTAGACTAGTTTTGGGGTTAAGATAGATATGTTTTTTCATGAAGAATTATTCACCTACCCTATTCTGTGGAGAAATTTTATTAAGAATGTATATCGGGTATAGGTATTGTCAGCCTGATGTAAGTGCCTCCTAAAATATGGTGCTAGGGAGTACACAGCTGTCCCTAGGAAGTATATTTGTAAAAAAGAAAAAGTGGGGAAAAAATTTTGATCCTGAATCTAATGAAACCTTTATGTCAGTAGTTCTTAACCAGGGAGAAGGCTTTTCTCCCTCATCCCCCCACAAAGGACATTTCACGGTGTCTAGAGACATTATTGGTTGTCATAAGGGGGAGAGAAGGTGCTACTAAGACTTAGTGGGTAGGGGCACCTGGGTGGCTCAGTCAGTTGGGCGTCCGACTTCGGCTCAGGTCGTGATCTCGCAGTCCATGAGTTCGAGCCCTGCGTCGGGCTCTGTGCTGACAGCTCAGAGCCTGGAGCCTGTTTCGGATTCTGTGTCTCCCTTTCTCTGACCCTCCCCCGTTCATGCTGTGTCTCTCTCTGTCTCAAAAATAAACGTTAAAAAAAAAAATTAAAAAAAAAAAAAAAGACTTAGTGGGTAGAGGCCAGTGATGCAGATAAACATCCTACAGTGCCCAGAACAGCTCCCACAGTGAAGAATTATCTAGCCCAAAATGTCAGGAGTGCTTAGGTTGAGAAAGCCTTTTCTAGGTCTCACTGTCAGATTATAAGAAATGTGAGGGATACAGGAACATATACTGTAACATCAGAAAGTAATCAGTGCAGCACATGATATGAAAAATTCTACAAGGCAGATGACCTGGTTTCTTTAGCACATAAACACATGAAGGGGATTGGGAAAGAAAGAACTGTTACAGATTAAGAGACTTAAGATATATACCAACCAAATGCAATATGTAGATCTTGTTTTGATCCTCATTTGAACAAAACATTCCTGCAGAAATTAGGGAAATTTTAAGTGGGGGTTACATGAAACAAGACTGGTAAAGTGTCAGTCATAATTGAAGCTGGGTGATGGAATTTCATTATAATTTCCTACTTTGGTCTTTGTTTAAAGATTTCCATAGTAGGGGTGCCTGGGTGCTCAGTCGTTTAAGCATCCAACTCTTGATCTTAGCTCAGGTCATGATCTCACAATCTGTGAGTTCAAGCCCCGGGTCAGGCTCTGTGCGGATGGCACGGAGACTGCTTTGGATTCTGTCTCTCTTTCTCCCTGCCCCTCCCCAACTTCTGCACATGCACACTCTCTCTCTTAAAAAAAAAAAAAAAAAAAAAAGATTGCCATAGTAAAAAGTTTTGTTTAAATGGATATTGAATTTTAGATTAAGTTTCAGCAATAACAGTGAAAATATGACTTCTCTGATCCTTTCAAATGGTGAATCATCATGATAAATTTCCTAACACTGAGTTCTCTGTATTCCTAGAATAAGCTTCCTTTCGTCATGGTATATTATTCTTTAATATACTTGGGAATCTCTTTGCCAGCATTTTATTCAGGATAATCTACATTGATATCCGTAACTGAGATTTGGTGTTTAGTTTTCTTTTTTCTGTTGCCTTTGCCAAGTTTCAGTATCAGTGTAATTCTAACTTCATAAAAAGACTCAGAACAACTTTTTTTCTTTTAAACTCCCTGGAACTGGAAGATACAAGCTAATTTGAATACAAAGAAACTGGCTATTTTCTATTCACTTTAAATATTCCACTGATAGTCCTTTGAAAACATTGATAACTCGTTTCTTTTCCTAATTTCTACTCTAAGTGTCTTCCAAAAGAATGAACATATACTGTTGCAAACATTAGAGCTTATGGGCAGTATTCTCAATGACTCTTTTGTATCAAAAGCTTTAAGTGCCTAAAATTCTTACTATGTAAGATGACTGTCAACTTTTAATAGTCTTTATTTTTTTTAGAGCAGTTTGGGTTCACTGCAGCATTGGGCAGAAGTACAAAGACTTCCCATATACTCCCTACCCCACTCGCTTATGGCCTCTTCCGTTATCAGCATTCTCCACCAGAGTGGCATACTCATTACAGTTGATGAACCTGCACTGACGAATCATTATCACCCAAAGTCCATAGTTTACATGAGGGTTCACCCTGGGTACCGTACGTTCTGTGGGTTTGGACAAATTTATAATGGCATGTATCCACCATTGTAGTAATATGGTATGCAGAGTAGTTTCACAGCCCTCAAAACCCCCTGTGCTCTACCTGTTCATCCCTCCCATACACACATCCAGACTCCCGGTGACCACTCATCTTTTTACTGATTCCATAGCTGTGTATTGTCACTTCTTCAGCTTTGTTCTTCTCCTTCAGTATTGTGTTGGCTATTCTAGATCTTTTGCCTATCCATATAAACTTGAGAGGCAAAAACAACAAAATAACTTGCTGGGATTTTTAATGGGATCACATTGAATATATAGATCAAGTTAGAAAGAACTGACAACAATATTGAGTCTTCTTAATATAGAATATCTCCATTTATTTAGTTCTTCTTTGACTTCTTTTGTCACAGTTTTGTAGTTTTCCTCATACAGATTTTATATATATATTGTTAAAATTAGGTATTATATTTGGAGAGTGGTAATGTAAATGGGATTGTGTTTTTAATTTCAAATACCACCTGTTAATTACAGGAATATGGAAAAGTGATTGACTTTTATTTATATTAACCGTGTGTCCTGCAATCTTGCTTTAATTGTTTATTAGTTCCAGGAGTTTGTCAGTTCTTTTGGATTTTCTATATAGACAATAATGTCGTCTGCCAAGACAGTTTGTTTTTTTCTTTCCCAATCTGTGTATCTTTTATTTCTTTTTTTTACTACATTAACTAGGACTTCAAGTACAATGTTGGAAAGGAGTGGTGAGAGGGGATATTCATCTCTTATTCCTAAACTTAGTAGGAAAGCTTCCAGTTTCTCATCAAGTATGATGTTAGCTGTATATTTACTGTGGATATTCTTTATTCATTTGAAGAAGTTCCTAGTTTGCTGAAAATTTTTAACATGAATGAGTATTGGATTTTGTCCAATGCTTTGTCAGCATCTATTGATACAATCATAAGATTTTTCTTTACTTGTTAATACGGTAGATTACATTGATTTTCAGATGCTGAATCAGGCTGGCATGGCTGGGATAAGTCTCACTTGGTTGTGGTCTAGAATATTTTTTTTACACGTTGTTGAATTCAGTTTGCTAATACTTTGTTGAGGATTGTTGCATCTGTGTTCATGAGAGATACCGGGCTATCGCTTTGTTTGCTTTTTCTTATAATATCTTTGTCTGGTTTGGGTATTAAGAGTAATGCCGACCTCATAGAATGAGGTAGGAAGTATTTGCTCTGCTTCTATCTTCTGAAAGAAATTGTAAAGAATTGATATAATTTCAGGGCGCCTGGGTGGCTCAGTCAGTTGGGCATCCAACTTCGGCTCAGTCATCTCGCAATTCATGAGTTTGAGCCTCGCGTCGGGCTCTGTGCTGACAGCTCAGAGCCTGGAGCCTGCTTTGGATTCTGTGTCTCCCTCTCTCTCTGCCCTTCTCCCACTCATGCTGTCTTTCTCAAAAATAAATAAACATTAAAAACCTGTTTTAGGGGCGCCTGGGTGGCTCAGTCGGTTGAGCATCCGACTTCAGCTCCGGTCATGATCTCACAGTTTGTGAGTTCAAGCCCCGCGTCGGGCTCTGTGCTGACAGCTCGGAGCCTGAAACCTGCTTCAGATTCTGTGTCTCCCTCTCTCTGTCCCTTCCGTGCTCATGCTCTGTCTCTCTCTGTCTCTCAAAAATGAATAAACGTTAAAAAAATTTTTTTTAAATAAATAAATAAATAAATAACCTGTTTTAAAAGAAAAAAAGTTGGTATAATTTCTTCCTAAATGTTTGATAGAATTCACCAGTGATCCCATCTGTACATGGTGCTTTCTGTTTTGGAAGAGTTATTATTAATTATGGATTTAATTTCTTTTTTTTTTTTTTTTATTTTATTTATTTTTAAGTAGGCTCCATGCCCAGTGCAGGGCTTGAACTCATGACCCTGAGATTAAGAGTCATGTGCTTGGGGCACCTGGGTGGCGCAGTCGGTTAAGTGTCCGACTTCAGCCAGGTCACGATCTCGCGGTCCGTGAGTTCGAGCCCTGCATCGGGCTCTGGGCTGATGGCTTGGAGCCTGGAGCCTGTTTCCGATTCTGTGTCTCCCTCTCTCTCTGCCCCTCCCCCGTTCATGCTCTGTCTCTGTCCCAAAAAATAAATAAAAAACGTTGAAAAAAAATTAAAAAAAAAAAGAGTCATGTGCTCTACTAACTGAGCCAGCCAGGTGCTCCAAATTATTGATTTAATTTTTTAATAGATACAGAACCTCTTCAGATTGTTCTTGTGTGAGTTTTAACAGATTGTGTCTTTCAAAGAATTGGTCTGTTTTACCTGGGTTATCAAATTTATGGGCATAGCACGGTTCACTTATTCCTTGAATACCCTTCTAATGTCTGTGAGATCTGTAGTTGTGTCCTCTCTTCCTTGTGAAGTAGCCTAGTTACTTACTGGCTTATTGATATCATCCATCTTTTCAAAGAATCAGCTTTTGGTTTTCTTGATATTCTCAATTGATTTCTTGACTTCCTGATTTCAGTTTCATTGATTTCTGCTCTTTTTATTATTTCTTTTTTTTCCTACTTACTTGGATTTAATATGCTCTTTTTTCCCCCTAGTTTCTTTCCTCAGGTGAAAACTTAGTGACTGATTTTTAGGTATTCCTTCTTTTCTAATATATGCATTCAGTTCTGTAAACTTCCCTTCAAGTACTGCTTTTGCTGCATTCCATACATTTTGACGGGTTGTTTTTTCATTAGTTCAAAATACAGTAAAATTTTTCTTCATATTTCTCCTTTGACCCATGTGTTATTTGTAAGTATTTGTTTAATCGCCAAGTATTTTGAGATTTTCTACTATCTGTGTTGTTCTACCTTAATTCCATTGTGATTTGAGAACAGACATTGCATGGTTTTTCTTCTGTTAAATTTGTTCAGCTGTGTTACAGCCCAAAATATGGTATTTCTTCATGAACATTCCATGTGTATTCTGTTGTTGGGTGAAGTAGTCTACAGTTGTCAGTTATATCCAGCTAATTGATGGTGGTGTTGAGTTCAGTTATGTCTGCTGGA